GTTCAAATGCGATAACTGTTTGCATACAAATTTTTGTGCAATTTACGATAATGATATGAACCGATAGTCATTTTCTAGAACATAAGAAAGGATTGCCTGTTGTCGTTTGGTGAGTTCGAGCTAGAGGTGTTGAATTATATTTTTGGCTCGGGCAAAGGGTTATTGAACTTTTGTCGGTTCTTCGAAATCTCTCAGAAATGGCATGGTGTTCGGATTACTCCGGCTCGACCCCTACTTTGTGGAAGTCATAAGCATAACTAGTGAAAAGTGAGTGTTAATTATATATGCAGTCCTCTACCAGTCAGGTATACTCTTTTATGAAGTGGTCTATAGTAAGTACAATTGCTTTACTATAATTCTAATTGCTAAAGAAATTCTGCTGCCTCGTTGGCTGAGTGGTCAAAAATGCGACTACTGGGCAAGGGTCTCGGGTTCGATTCCCGAGTCTGGCAAAGTATGCCGTGCATATAAAGAGTGCCGGCAGAAGTGAAAACTTAAGTATTAACGTTGTGCGTTTTAGATATTTTAGAATGGTTATGGAATAATTTTGCTCGAATAGCTTTAATTATCAGAATAAAAGTACTATATTGTATGTGGTAGAATACAATATATATTTATTGCGCTATCGTACACAAACATGACAATTTATATTATTTTCAAAAGTTTATCCTTCAGAAAAATCTTCCTTTCATAATTTCGACGACTTTTTCACTATCATTATTACCAGAACCATCATCGCACACCTTTAAAACTGATACGATCGGTTTGTGATAGCTGAAGTACAGTAAGAAACGAACAGTTTTGATTCGAACCTACTTAAATGTCTAATAAAGACCACATCAATAGCAGTTTTGTATTTCGTTGTGCTAAGATGGCGATCATTTGACATAGATAAACCAAATTCATAACATAACATAACATAACATCACGCCTTTTATCACCGAGAGGAAGGCAGAGGTGCACATTATGCCACTGTACAATGTAACACCCACTTTTCACTATTTATGTTATGACTCCCATGTAATAGGGGGTGCGCCTATTGCTAAGGTTTTTTTGAAGCGAAAACTTCTTTAGTGGAGTTGTACACTTTTTTGTAATGGGTAAAAAATGTTGAACATGTAAAAATGTTGAACAATGAAACAACAGATTTTTGTAGCCAAACAAATAAATAATTGATTTAATTAAATACGTTTTATAATATTAATCAGCGGTTTTGCATTTTGACTAGTAAGGGTATCGCCTTGAGGTGTCCAATCGGTACATTCCAGATCTGAAAAAAAAACAAAATATTTAGATAATGGAGCGATGAGAACTTTTTGACCATGACACAGTTTTCTAAATCAGGTTATTAGAAAGAATACTTTCTTTGAACTAAATATGTGAATTTTGATTTACAACAAATATGCTCAAACAAATAGAGTTTTTAAACTATAAAAAACATACACCTATTGTTTAGTATAGGTATATCAGCTTAATAGAAAAATTATTAACACTTAAAGTTTTCGTGGAGTTTATAGGTACATTTTAGAAGTAATTACCCAGATTTTGTTAAGATATCGTTGCCCATACGAAGTTCAGCACCACGGCACGTGTTCAATGACAACTGAATTTGGTTGTTGCACAATCGACCAACTAAATGGTTGTAGGTAACGGTAGCAGCAAAGAATTCCCAAGCACGGTTGTGGTTGCAGAAGTTGGTGAGGCAGCCAGGTTGAGAGATACCACCGTTGGGGTAGAAGTCAGCGTCAGCGACGTTGGAGCCGATACCAAGACCGCCGACGGTGTAACCACCATCAGTGTGGATAGCCTCGACGTAGATACCATCATTAGGGTTGACACGGTTGCTGTTCAAGTTCCATAGAGGACCAGCAGGGTCCAAAGCTGAAATTGAAAGCAGCAGGTAATTGTTAGATGGACTGAAATTAAGAAAATGAGCGACAGGATGCATCTAACAATACAATGGGAAAATTATTTACCTGTGACTCGAGCGACTTTGCCTCCAAGTTCACGACCAGCGTTACCGACAACATGAGCACCCAAGCTGAAGCCGACAAGATGCATCTGGGTTAGTGGTTGCCCGGTAAGCTCGCTCAGGAAAGCCAAGAACCGTCCAAGGCCACGACCAACAGCTGGTACTCCTCTGACTGCAGTGGCGTAGTCAGATAACGCTAGTCTTCTCCAGTCCATTACAATTACATTTGTCTCAAGTTTCCTCAAGTAGACTAAAACAATATAAATAATATTAATGAGTTTCATTGTTATCGAAGCAACTTAAATGTAAAATTTCATACTAACGATGTGTTTTTAGAATTGTGCTCAATGTATCTATCTACTAGTACTTAACAATTAATAGAGAGTGACTCACCATCCCTAATGGTAGGATTAATGTTGGTGTTTTGGTTACTGAGCCAGCCATGGACAACAACAACAGTGGGGGCATTTGGGTTGAAATTCGAGTTGGCAATAGAAGCAGCATCGTTTATCACCAGTGATTGTGGATTATCAGGGTTACGCCTGTAAATTTATTAAGAGAATGTATTAGTTTTAATTCTAAGAGTAATCAAATCATGTAATTAATTCGTTTGACAAAAGTACCTACCTGGTGAAGAGTAAGTACTGGTTGTTGGCTGGATTCCTCTCAATATTGTTGAGGAGTTCCATGTCAGGCTCAGCTTCAAGGTCTACCTTGTGCATGTTTCCTTCGCCATCCGGGAAGTCAATGTATCGAGGATATGAGTGGTCCTCAGAATACAATGAGCTAGTTGGAATGGCGGACGCGGCATAAACTGGAAATAAGATTTTTTTTTAATACCACTTACTTTATAATATTTATCGGAAGAAACTTAAGCTTGTTCATAATATGGGAAATGTGTATCAAAGATCACTAAATCGTTCTAATCACTAACTCGTTTGTCTATTCATAAAAACTTCAGGGACTCCCCCTGGTATCTAGTTTAATAGTCTTTAAGATCATTTGACACTTCACTTTTAACTTATTTAAATAAAAGAGTTGGTTTTTAATTATTCTCTCTTTTTTCCATCACTAAACTCACCCGCTATGAGCAGTAAGCACAAGAAAGACTTTTCCATTTTGAATATACTAACAGTATAATATTAATTTAACAGTTTTTAAAGCTATTTATTGAAAAATGTTATCAGCAACGACAAGATTTTACGATTAAACATTATTTTATCACACATGTTAAGGGAATGTGATGCTTATATTTCGACGATAGACCAACTACATGCGTAAATGAAATATCAGTATGATTTTAATCTATTAGATATTATAATGGTATGCTGAGATTTTTAAAGGAAAACGATTTAAAACTGTATCAGCAATTTTCGCTTCGTCAATTACAATTTCATTGCAGGAAACCATATCTGGCTTTAATTCCGATACAAGAATATTATTATTAATTATTTATCCCATTCTGTTTTGTATTTATTAAATACAATTAGTCTTCACTGTTATGTACTGTTATCGTCTACATTTTGAAGCATTAACAGAAATATGTATTCATATTCCCATCGTTCCCATGGTTTCCAGTTCAGCATTTTTCTAGCCAAGTTCAATTAATTTTCGGCCTAGATAATCAGTTCCTCAGCTTGCCCACAGTTAATTTTTTATTTCAGTTCATCTTTAGTCTGTATCACCACAGCAGATCTCTCACGAATAAGTGGTTCAGTATGTTTCCTGTATCCAGGAAATTCGGGGATTTTTTGTAGGATTCTCAAAATTTTGTCATACAGAGAACCAAGTGTGTGATGGGCATTTGGCGCTACTGCCATGCCAACAAGGCCTGTACTCTTTTTGAGATATCCCATTGCTAGTGATTAGATAACTCACAATATGAAAACTCACAATATTACTTTGGTATAAATTTCCATTGCGGAATGCCTGATTTAAATCTTATAATATTAATAGTCTTCAAGATGTTAAGAAACAAATAGGTTATAAAGAGTATTCAATCAATGATTATATTTTCGGCTTACTCACGTAAATATTTGACGAGGAACTCGACTAGTTTCAAGCCATGCTAGAGGCTCATATTCATGAGCAGCGGCGACGACTGTTGCGCTGCTATGTCGTAGCGTAGTCGTGTCAAACAGTTACGCGTGTAAGCCGAAAAAACAATAATTAATTAGTATGTATCACGAAAGTTTTAATAACTTTTCAATCAGTTCACAATATATAATCTTGGTAAGTTAAAAGAAGGAAAGCTAGCTGTGACTAAGGCAATGACAAATCAGAATATAGACATGGGGAAAGAGTAAAACCCAGAAAGAAAAAAGGAGAGGGAGAAGTGAGGAAGTGTTAAGCTGAACTAAGATCGTAAGAGAAAAATTTGTTAATAAAGAAGAACGTACAATATGTAAAGCTTTATAAATACTATCATTTACTGTATTGGTGGTACTTTTATCAATTATCTATTCACCTACTCTGTTCATGTTTGCGTAAATTCTATTGGTCATGTTTTTATTATTTTAATTCATGTTATTATCACAAAAATAATAGGATTAGGGATATGATTGTTTTATCTTATATCATTTTTGTATCGGACACTTGCAAAATCGACTGATTTTATGGAAAATGCCATAATTTATTTATTAATAAGTGATCAAAAATGTTATCTTTTCCGTCAACGTTATTGCTATTTTTCGTAAGATAGCGTTTATCTAACGTTTAAGTGTATTTAAACAAAAATAAAGTAAATTCTTATGTTACCTATGTATGTCAAGACTTTGGCCTTCATTCAATTCAAGGCCAAACATATTTTCTTGGTCATCAAAAATTTTGAACGGCTTACATGAGAAGCTATTTAGTTCTAGGTTAAATATTTTCAAAGATTGGCAACATTTTGGTGTACCACATACATGAAATTATATTTCTTGTATCACACGGATTTTAGTCATAATATTTATAAATATAGTGTATAAATTCCAGGCTAAAAGGTTTTAAACAATAAAACAAAATATGTATAAGAATACTTATAAGGCCGAATTGTTGATTATTTTAATATTTTTTTGGTATTAAACAAGTTTTTTAACATAATATTTATGCATAAATGAATAATTCCGTCAAATTAGTAAGGGTATCTTCTGGCAGTGTCCAAGCGGTACATTCCAGATCTGTAAATAAAAAATAAAGGATTTTATTAACTAACTTATGCAAAACGTCAATGAACTAAATGTAAATCCTTGCATGAAGTTATATTATGAATATTCATCATATAAGCTTAAGAACCGGAGCTGGTCAAGTATAAAACTTCCAGAAACATTACCAATTTTAGCTTATTAAACATCACACCTTGTTCATTAGGTAGTTGTTTAAAATTTAAGATTCTTACCCTGATTTCCTTAAGTCATCGTTGCCCATACGAAGTTGAGAACCACGGCAGTTGTTCCAGGTCAGCTGAGTCTGGGTAGCGCACTGACGTCCAACCAAGTGGTTGTATGTGACAGTAGCAGCAAAGAATTCCCAGGCACGGTTGTGGTTGCAGAGGTTGGTGTAACAACCAGGCTGGGAGATACCACCGTTGGGGTAGAAGTCAGCATTTGCGACGTTGGTGCCGATACCAAGACCTCCGACGGTGTAACCACCATCAGTGTGGATAGCTTCCACGTAGACACCGTCACGGGGGTTGACACGGTTGGTGTTGTAGTTCCATAGGGGACCGGCAGGGTCCAAAGCTTTGAGAAAGAAAAAGACAATGTTAAAATGCCCATGGTACTATATATTCTGCCTGAAGAAGAAAATGATAATCAAATGGATGCTTAAAAAAGTCGTTATAAAAGGAACAAACCTGTAACACGAGCGACTCTTCCATTGAGTTCACGACCAGCATTACCGACGAGGTGAGCACCCAAGCTGAAGCCGACAAGGTGCATTTCAGTGAAAGCCTGGCCAGTAACTCTGTTCAAAAAAGCCAAGAACTGTCCAAGACCGCGACCGACTGCGGGTACACCTCGGGCTGCTGTAGCATAGTCAGACAACGCCAATCTTCTCCAGTCCAAAACAATGACATTGACGTCACTCTTTTTCAAGTAAGCTGAAAATAAATAATAAAGCTGCTTACATAACCAAAATCAATTGTAGTCAACGTTCAGTCAAAGTTTTTTAGAAATAAATATTTTCTTGCCAACTTTTTTACGCCTAAAATTTTGCTTTGGCTAAGAACCTTCGCAGTATTAACTGGCATTATGTATATAGAAAGTTGTAGGTGGCAGCAGTTCCGATATTACGTGACTACGTGCTGCTGACAAGTTGTGAACTTTGTTAACTGGGAGAGTTATGGAACACAATGGAATAATATTTTTCGATAAGGTGAATCTTCTGAGATCAGAATGTTTGGTATTACTTGAAAATTATGTCTGTCTTTCTACGTGAGACAGAGTTTAACATTTACGTACATTACTAGATTTTACATTAAAATAGCGGTGTGTTAATGCAACAAAAAAATAAAATCATTTCTTGTTTGTTTTTAGAAAAATAGTCTAAAACTGTTTTTCCATGTATTATTGTATAAAAAAATTCCAAGTGCAGTTACCGTCTCTGATGGTGGGGTTGATGTCGGTATATTGGTTGCTGAGCCATCCGTGAGCAATAACCACTGTTGGGACTCGAGCGTTGAAGTTCGAGTTGGTTATAGAGTTGGCATTGTTGATCACCAAAGTTTGGGAAATTCTCTGATTACGTCTGGAATAATGTACAGTGTCATTGTTACCAAATTAAATCGCGTCCGCTTACGAATGAAATGAAAATTTGTGAATTTTAAATTCGGTAAAATTCTTGCTTATGTTTTTGAAGGTTTTTTGTTGTTTTTTTAGTTATTTACATTACTTTTCTGTGGTCGATTAACATTTTTTTGGACGATCGACGGACATAGATAGTAACATTTGTCTGTATGGCAACAAGATAAAAGGTTGAATAAGTACCTGGTGTACAACAAGTATTGGTTGTTGGCAGGGTTCCTCTCGATTTCTGCGAGGAGTTCCATGTCAGGCTCAGCCTCGAGGTCCACGGTGTGCATGTTTCCCTCACCATCGGGGAATTCGATGAATCGGGGGTATGTGCGGTCCTCAGAGTACTCTGAGGATATCGGAACCGCAACTGCGGTGTAAACTGCAAAAAAAGAAAATTTTCATGACCATGATAATCATACAAAAAATTTTAATGAAATTAGTCTACCAATTACGTCACTTCGATAGAACGTTTTTTAAAGTATTTGTACGCAATACAAAAACAATGTAAGTAACTTACAGAGATATAGGTATTAGGTACGCTTTTTATTCTTTTACTTGTATTTTAACAATTAAGAAATAAAAATAAATTAAAAACTCACCGATAATAAGCAAACACAACAGGGACTTCTGCATTGCGACAAGATATTGGCGTTAATTCAATATTTTACTAGTGATGCTAGTATTTATTTTATAATTTTATCAGTATCAGGCATAATTTTAATTGTTATCTGTTTTTGAAGAAGATTAACGTTTAGGTTTATACTGTCCTAATCGCTTAATGAAATAGTAGGTTTACAGGGTGTCTTAAATTCAAAATTTTGATCGAAGTCTAAAGTGTAAAGGTCAAATTGTATTGCTTTGGTTGAGTAGTCAAAACATTGTTTATTTCGTATGTCTAGGAAGTAGACTTTAACTTCATTTAGAAGTAAAGTCTTCAGGATTAGCTGTACTTAGCTATTGGTATGTTCACTGTTTTTTTTTGCATATAACCTCATTTTAATTCAGTTTATGTAGAGTATAATTGAATAGAAATGGATGTCATTTAATAACATCCATCTTTTAAAAATAAATAAATAAAATAAAATAAACGAGACCTTAAATGAAAATTACATTTAAAATGCATTTTGAAACAGCCTGTGAATTATTGAGAAGCTTAATAATATCAGAAGAGATAGTGCAAGAAGGGGGGTATCGTATGTCTTGTCATAATACCTTAATGAATTGCAATTAAATCTATTTATAATACGAAATAAACCTTTGTACGTCTTTTTAAGTACGTTTAGTGCTGGGTTGGGCGAAGTAACATAATTTAATTACGTCACGATCAAAATTCATATTTACCTCTATTATCATGGTTTTTTATTTATCGTTGGTCTGGCCTATGACACGGTCAGAAGCCTTAGTATGAGTTTGTTTTTTTACTTATTTAATATAATACATACATGGTATAACATCACACCATTTATCTCTGAAGGGGTAGGCAGAGTTGCACATTACGGCACTTAATGCTACTGTGCAATGAAACACCCACTTTTCACTATGTATGTTATGAGTTCCATGTAACAGGGGGTGAGTCTATTGTCATATAGTTATTGGTCACAAATCCAGACCCGGGCTACGACTAAAAAAACCAGTTAAACTTTGCCCAAACCGGGAATCAATTCCGACCGAACGTGTCTTCGTTTCGATTTCTTTAAACGTAACTAAAACTAACTTTGGTGACACAATTTGCCTGCGGCATCAGGTCCACTTATTGTACTCTTTGTGCATGAAGCATATTATCATAATATCACGGCTTTTATCCCCAAAGAGAAGGCAGAGGTGCACAATATGCTACTGTACAATGTATCACCCACTTTTCACTATTTAGTAATGAGTTATATGTAATAGGGGGTGAGCCTATTGCCGTATACCGGGCACAATTCCAGACTCCGTGTTACTACTGTGAATTTTAAAAAAAAAACCCTTAATACTTTTGAACCCGAGACCCCTTGCACCCGATAGTCAGTCGGCCAACGAGGCAGCAGAATTTCTTTAGCAATTATAATTTTAGTAAAGCAAATGTACTTACTCGAGACCACTGGTAAGTCAGGCATATTAAATAAATAAAAAAAACATACTAAATTAATAATGTGCAGAATTATTATTATCCGTAGCAGCGCAACAATCGCCGCGTCGCGGGTCGCGGAATGCTGCTCATTAATCTAATAATGAGCAGCATCTAGCATGGCTTGAAACTAGTCGAGTTCGTCGTCGAATAATTATATGAGTCAGCCTGTGAAGAGTGCTTATACTGCATACAAGTAGGTATATCCTCTTTCTATAGAGATTATCATTTAGCATAAATATTGGAATATTTAAATGAAGTCTTGGCTGCAAGCCGGAACCTTGTTTAAAACATAAGTATATATTTTTCTCTGCTTACGATCTTCAATATAAAACTTTTTTATTTTATTGATTTCAATATGTCACAGAAGTCGGTGCGAGACAAATTTCTTTTCAAAATCAAATTTCCGAGCACCGAATAGCGCATGAGTTGAACTTGTGCCAATATTTTATTTAAATCACCTAAAGTTTCTGCGCTCACCAAGGAAACATTGAACGGTTTTATTTAAAATGCCATTTTCTTTTTGTGAACGATTTCGGTAGCCTATTGATGCAGAGAAGTAAAATTTATGGGCATATCATAACTTCCATTGTATAGACAGGATTAAATCTGAAGGCTTATTGTCAGTTTATTTTACTTAAACTGTCAAATACCGCGAGGACATCGGTGACCGCAACCTATTGTTCTTTAATTGTATCTACCTCTATAATGAGGGTACTCAAAGGGTACGAGATCGAAAGATTATATATACCGTTTGGCACACTGATCCAATGAACTAACCAATTACAACGCCGAACGCGGTTACGTTTTGATCTCGTATGTACGTAGAACAAATAGGTACGTAATATCGCCCTCTGGATTGATGACGTCTTAGTAGCTGACAATCGGGAGATGAAAGTAGCAGAGTATCTTTTGACGTGGTGGAATCCGCTGCTGGTTTATGAGGAGTTCTACAATTACATGAAGGAATATTTATTAGCAGAAACTTTTCATGATTTATTTATTTATTTGAAGGAGTACGGCCACATCACAAACATATAACATTCAAAATACACAATAGTAACAAAATAAGGGTCTGATGCATGCGACAATAATGGCGTACATAGCATTGGCAATTCATAGGCTTAACAGTGCCTTAAAAATAAAATACAATTTGAGAATTACGGAAAAGAAAATAACAACAATAGTCCACACCATGATGACGATGATGCCCTGAAGTTTCACGCAGAAGTCCCTTAAAATGCATAATAAAGGTTCAACTTACAGCGACAGTGCATCGTACCTACGGCTGAAAGTAACCTATAACCTACGTCAATACAATGTTTTTCGATTCGGGTTCATTTTTGACATCATATCGTAATCTTATGTCACGCGACTCGACTACACATGTACAAATGTGTATGTGTGTGTACAGTATGATTCGTACAGCGGTGATGTACTTGTTGTGTTTGTGCATTCCGTAATCGTCGTTACGGCGCATGTGGCGCGCACACAGAGAATAGGCAGCAGCACAAGTGTTGTTGCGTTTTCATGTGCGCGCAGTGTGCGTCCGACGCGGAACAAACAAATATACGGACAGAGACGCGGCGGTGTGTGGTGTGTGCTGCTGTCGTGTGCGGGGCGCATGTGCGTTGTACTTGTTCGAAATTTGAACAAGAGACGTGTGTGCGACGCGCGCGCGCTGGCCTCCACAGACACTGTCTCGCTTATTGAACTGTGCCGGCCGACGGAACGTGTGTGTGCTCGTGTCCGTTTATAGTCGCGGAGAACCTAACGGGTAACCGGGGCTCCGGCTCGACGTGCAGGAGATAGAACGGGGCGGTTCTTAGTCAGTAAGAGACTGACACTCCCTCACGCCTCATACAGGGAGCAGTCATTCGATGACTTTCCCCCTTAAAAAAAAAAACATAATCTTATACAAATTACAACGTGGCTCAAAATTCTTTTTCTCCACCTTGTAATCAAAATAAATCATTATCGAACGCTGTTACTGAAGTATCGGTACAATGTATTGTTTTCATTTAATCAATTCAGAACACCAAATATTGTTTAGAATAACAAATGTTTACACGCGGGAGGGCAAACAGCGACGTAACTGACCGATATAGAGGACTACAAACGAACCTCTACCATTATCATTTACATACCTTATATATCTACCAATGAAATACATAATATACATATATATAGGTACACAGGTGTATATAAACCGAATAGCTACTTCCGCGCGGTTTCACACGCTCGGCTCAGCTCCTATCGGTCGTAGCGTGATGTTTTATAATCTAAAGCCATCCTCGATAAATATGCTATCCAACACAAAAAGAATTATTCAAATTAGACTAGTAGTTACGGGGATTAACGCGTTCAAACAAAAAAAAACAAACTCTTCCGCTTTATATAATAGTATAACATTAATTATTGCTTATTTTTTATTGTAACCTCGCCTTGCCTCTCACGTAAGTGCATTGAAACGGAAACGAATAGGTACTATGTGTAGTCATCTAAATCGAGGGCAAGTTTGTTGTCAGACTGGTCAAGCTAATTCAAATGTGACTCTGTAAACGTAGGTAAGAATTGATCCATGGTGAAACTTCACATTTCGCAGAGTCGTACTTTTAGCGCGGATAAGAGCCGTCTATGGGACTAGAAAGACAAAAACTAGATATCATAAACTTGAACTTTCTCCACAGCGATCTCGCATCTGTCTATCAAGCGATGAGATTCTCTTAGAGAGTACCTAATATGCATACATTAAATGATGTACGATTAGGGAACAACCAACTTTAACTTGCTGCCTGATCAGAACCAGACCCGAGCGTACGGCACGTCGTGTTCCGCGCGCGCCTCAAGGAGCCATCAGACCACCACAGATGAGGTCCAAAAGGGAATGATGCCGATACGGAGCCAAGGAAGACTTAACGGGTTGCCGGGGCTCTGGCTCGAAGTACAGGAGCAGGAACGGGGTGGTTTTTAAGACTGACACTCCTTCTCGCCTCATTCGGGCGGGAGAAGTCATTGGATGATTTTACTTTTAAAAAAAAGGGTACCTAAACCAAACTTTACAAAACACAAAACAAATTAATTTAATAACGAACGGTGTCACCTGTTTCATCATAGTGTCAATTATGGCTAATCAACTGACAAATAGCATTGAAATATTCCATTTTAGTTGAAGTAATTAAATTACGTAATGGTGAATTTATTAGATTGGCAAATTCGCTAGACTATGATTCACTAATTTATATTCTAAATTATTATTAAAATACTTTTAAACTGTCAAACACCAAGCGGTCACCGGGGACCGCAACCTATTGTTCTATTATTGTGTCTATAATGACGGTACTCGACGAGTTAAAGAGCTATCAAGTAGAGTATATGTAAATATGGAGATGCCATAATGTCCACACTTGTCAGGAGAGTTGGAGTTCGTTATTATTATATAATTTAGTATAACAATAGCTACCGTGTAGTTACTGTCTATTTTAACCTTAAGTCTAGTCGAGAAGAGTTGTGGTGGCCCAGAGGTTTTAGACTGCTGCTGCGGCTGCTCAAGCTGCACCATCATACTTTTTTGGGTTCAAAA